TAGTATACGATTTACTCCAACGCTATAAGGAGAAAAATGTTATATGTATAACAATTTTTAGTATTAAACTACAATAATAGTATTTTTAACTGTGATTTAATATAACTAACGTAGAAAAATTAATTAAAATTACAATATCTGTATCGTTGCATTACAGTTTTTTCCCATATTTCCATAAATCATTTCACATTGCCCGAAATACAAAACTATTTAACGTCGGATCGTTACAAAACTGGACCGTCTTTCTTTAATTCCTTCGAAACAACGGGGCTTCTTCTAAAGTTTAAATCGGAGTTTGAATTTGTCCCATTTCGTGACCGGTCATTTTCAATCCTGAAAAGGAAGTGGAGGAAACCGGGAGAGGAGTTAGAGAAAGGATTAAAACAAAGGAAAGCTTCGACAGAAAGTTGAAAGAGGAGTTAGAAGATAGGACAAGAGAAATTGATAGAATGGAAAGAGAGAGATCTCGAAGTCTGGTTACTAAGAAAATCGAAAAGAAGAGTCTAGAAGAGGAAAGAGCTTAGCGACAGACACTGACTATACACAACGAAGTAGTTAAAAGTTATTTAGTTTTATATCAAACGAAAAGCCGCTTATAAGATATTAGGGACCTTTTAGCCAAATCAATAGACTTTATTGGCATTGGGCAGATAGTCCATTTTGAATTGACAAACATTTTGTGATATAACTCAACAAGAAATAACAGTATCAACCAAGAAACTTTCTAAAAGTAAAGCATAATAGTTTCAGTTTATACAAAATAAAAGAGTACACTCAAACCTGTTTTTGTGCGGTCCTTTTCTGTGCGATTGTTTTTTATGCGGTATATAAAAAAAATGTCCATCAAAATGCATAATATGAATAAAAAATAATAAAAGTCAACTCTGAACGAGTGTGACGTAGCATCTTCAAGCGATAAAAGTGATTTTGAACTAGTTCACCGCAAGAAAATCCGCGATTTTGACTACCAAGAATAATTTTTATATGTAGATTTTGGAAATTTTTGTATGGGTAATATATAATGTAAAATAAAATATTTTAAAATGTTCCTATGTGTAAATTAATTATTTTCTCCTGTTTGGAAAATCAATTTCTAGTTACATCGTGAGGTTTTGAATTCTTTCGTACGTGAGACTTTTTGTATACGGTCCCTATTCATCGCATAAAAAAATTCTTTTTTAAATGTGTTGCGAACAATATTTTTTATAGCTACTTATAAAGTTTAGGAATCTTTTCTTTTGTGCCTTCTCTTTTATGCGGTCTGTATCCCCCGTACAAGAACAGGTTAGAGTGTACATCTCTAAATAGTTATTACTAAATTTGACATACGCTTATACGAAAATCGGTACATTCAGACCCACTCTATCCTACAGTACCGTTACCCAATGTGGTCGTTTAATAGCTATCGAGCTGATACGACATGAAATAAACAAAGGAAAAGAAGAACAATGAAGAAGTGATATTACCAGTAAAACTTTCGTTAGTTCCCGGCGCGTAAGCCAACGGAAATTGTCGATGCGTCAGAAAGTCGGAACACCAGAGAACGAAAAAATCCACATAGCAACGATAATTCGATAAGCTGCTTCGTATTCCCATTCGTTCCTCCTATGAACGTTTCCCTCCATTTCGCGTCCACCTCCATTTTCGTTTCTCTCCGCTTCCTCCTTTTTTTTTTGTAATATCCACAAAACTCATAGACTTCCAATCTGTTTCGGTAATAACCAGGGTAAACGATCGGACGTGACGTCACTCGGGTTCGAACGCCGGTAAACCCGGGCGGTTTGAAATTGTCGAACTGTTGGCTCGCGTGGGCTCGGTGTTCTGGTATTTAAAGGGGACAACGTTAAACCGGCCGATGCTATGGCCATTACACGTTAATGTTGGACTTTGTTTGCCTTAAAAACTGATGCTCGCCAGACCCCTCCCCCCAAACTCTCTCCAGTTTCGCCCTTTCGTTCTCGCAACCGTTCCCACCGACCCTTGTTGCTTCCGCGCTTATTTTTTCCCTCCGTTACCCCGTTTCCCATCAAACGGGTGTATCAGTCGCATTCTGCACGCCTAGAAACCGGGGCACGTTTTATCGGGAACTGTTCAGGCGTGAAACACCCTCCCGCCGTTACGTTTTGTATTTACTGAAGGGACGCAAGAAGGCCGCGAACTTTATACGTTTTGCTTAGAATTTTAATGTTTAACGTCCCCCGATTAATACGTCCGTTTGAACGTCTACGGCCCGTCTGATCTTTCGTTTCATCCGCGGAGAGGGGTCTGTTTATTTACGAACATGGCGCCAGCAGCAGTCGGTGTACAGAGGTCGCGCCACTTCAAGCGGTTGGTTGTTCGGCAAATTTCAAGCTGGCTTGGCAAATTAGTTCCCCGGATTAGCAAGTTAATTACGGCGAGTCCTTTAAAAAATAGAAACACATACACGGTTTTCCCAGACGGAAATAACTTGGTTAATTGGATGACGCATTACGAGGAGCCTTTATCGCTTTGGAAAATTCGTGAATTCGTAGTCCCCTTTCCGCCTCGAAGTATTGATCGATCAAGCACACGGGCACCGGTCCAAGAAGTCGCAGTAAATCGTGCAAATTAATTCTCGACGACAATTTTCGATCGATCGAGAAAAATCACAGAACCGAAATACCGGAGTTTCGCGACGGGATTACACGCTCGTAAGAACTTTTAGTGTCTAACCGGTTAAATAATGTACACTCATGAGCAAGCTCGGCAAGCAATATGGTAAATTTATATCGACTACTGAAATAAATTTTAAACCGAATGTTAATTCGACAGAAATTTCAGTAAGTCACGAAAGAAGTGGTAGGAGGCCCTTTCTCTAGGGTAAAAAAAGAAAGGACCTACCACTTAGTCTCGGGAGTTATTGAATTTTATGTCAAATTAACATTTGGTTAAGGGGGTATTTGCTTTTTTAATTTTGAAAAAATCAATTTTCCTTTTTTGCACTTTCTTAAAGTACATATCTTTGAAAATATCTGTGACAGAGGATATGCCGGAATTCGACCGGAATTGCTGACTAAATGTAAGCATCTCACACATGAAGTATAAACGGTACAAAAACTTTAATCGCGTTTTTCTCGAAACTATGTTTTCTGACATGGCTGACATGATATCTTAAGATCTAGCTGTCCGATTGACTCGAAATTTGGAGAAGTTCTTCAGCAGATCTGTCGCTATAGCCAGTACGAAAATTTTTAAGAAATCTTAATTTTTTCTAATTTTTTATTATATTAAAAACAAAAAAGAGAGCTAAAAAACTGAATTTGAATTTTAAAGTGTCGCCATTTTTTTAAACAATGAGGTATTTCATCCCTTGAGGTACGGGCTATAATCACATTTATTCTGAAGAAAATGGCACCTCGTTTTTTTATTGCAGTCCACTACAACGGCCGGAAACATGTCAGCCATCATACATGTTTTTATAACATTACATTTTTCAATGACACGTACCTGCTACAGTTCTATGTATTTCGGCTTGAAAAAAATATATAATGTAATTTAAAAAGTATCGAAGCCCATAGTACACAGCAGTGTTGTGATTTAAAAAAAAATCCCAAAAAAGCCCTAAAAAATGACATTTAGAACGCAAATACGCCCTTAAAATTTATTTCAGTATTTGGAATAAATTTACCATGTGGTTGAAGGCCTTTATCCCTACGTCACTTTTTCTCCCAACGAAAATCAAGTTTGCTTGTCACTGTATTCGAGGCGCAAGAGGCGGAGGGAACGGCGCTGAAATCAGGGGAGATCACTATCATCGCTATCGTCACCGTCGCGACCATTATCGCTGTCTCGTACTACTGGGCCGTTTCTACCCTCGACCGCCTAGAAATGTGTAGTATTTGCCCCCCGGTAATTATTCGTTTGTCGACGGCGGCCTTTCAAAAGCGTAACCGCCGGGCCACGTCGCATCGGTCCGTCGAACTATTAATTACATCCTCGTGCAGCGTTTGCAATTTTCTTGGCCTGGTTTTCCGTTATACGTGGCGGGACATTTTTGCTGGATATATTGATTGCGAATGTTGCTACTCCTATACGCCGAATGGTATTTCGCTGATTGCATGCCAACACAAATTGCATTAACCCGTTCTTATTTTGGCTCGTGCTGCGGTGATATTTTTCCGGGGCTATTTGAATTCTTTTCTATTTTGGAAAGTGTTCTTCGCTTTGTACAAAGCGTACAGCGATTTTGTTATCGTTCGTTATTATTTAGAACAGCAGATAATTTTAAGCATATATTCATTCAAATGCATCGTGGCATTTTAACAGGAAAATTGTTCAAAATAATTCTCTCATGATTCCACTCAAATCCGTCTATAATAACTTCCACGAGTTTTTCGTGACTTCTAACGCGTGTTCTTAGTCTTTCTGGAAATCAGTCCCAGAACTATTGGATTACGTCAAATTAGATGGTCTATGAATAGAGTTATAAATATTTACAGCTGATTATTATTGTATAATTTTTTAAATAATTCTGAAGGACGTGTAAGGTATGTTTTTTCCACTTCGGCATTATTTTTCATAAAACTAACACTGCTTAACACTAGAACTATCAAGCAAGTCAAAATGACTTTTCAATGCACTCTTACAACAACGATTGAAATGTTACGACAATACGTTTTCTCAGACCGTTTGCGCCTTTTATTACGATATGAAGGTGAAGCAATTAATCAATTTCTAAATTTCTAAATTTTCAAAAGTTTTTCTATATGCGTCTATCGTCGGTAGTTCTAGTGTTAAATAAATCAGTAAAATTCAATTTTTCTCAAAATGATCATTTATCCAGAGACTTTTGGGCGGGTGTGTAAATATTGTATTTGGTGTACAAGTCCTCGCTAGACGAAGTATCGACAACCATTAATGTTTCGTTTTATGCAGGACAGTTTCTGACTGCCGAAGTTCGAAGTAACTAAGTTACCGATTCGATGAGAACGCGGCACGCCATAACGCCTAATGTCACGTTAATTTTGTTAAGTACTTACCGATCGTAGTCAGCACCGTGAGAGAGTAAAGGAACGCCTTGGCGAAGTTCCACTCGTACTCTGGGACACGTCGTTCGGTCACAGGATCGCTCGACGAACTTCCCACGTAGGTACCGACGTTTTGGGTCGTCATCATGTCCTCGGTGATCCTCTTCACCAGTTGATCCTGAAAACGTGCGATTTCCTGGGCGGCCAGCCTCGTCCAATTCTCACGGTAAAGGACGTTCAGGCTCTCCGTAATTATCCATATGTTCTCGACGGTTTTCGCTCGGGCCTCGTTATTAACCTTGACATAGAACAAGGTTTTATTAAGCGTATGAATTTCGATCCTTTCCTGAGAAATCGAGACTCCTTTACATTATGTGGAGATAAGTAATTGGAGATTTGGGATTAGTTGGGGTCTGCGGGGATTCGAGCTAGACGGATTCGAGGAAGGGTAGTATCTTTTCTGCGCAGGAGTCCTTGCGGAACGAGTTTCACTTTAAAGAACGAAGAAACTAGATGGGGACGGTTGATCGATAAAACTTCGTTGAAACGACCGCTAACGCCAGAACGCACGGATAATTCGATTGACTTCGGGTTGAGTGAGGTCATCTCACGTAGGAGAGCGGGATCAAACCGGAGATGTTACGATAAATCGAGATTTACTTTTGCCGGCAGAGTTTCTTCCGGTCCGTTACGTTGGAAAAGATGGAACGCTCGTTATGTTGGAAAATATGGAAACGCTCGTTATCTTATCGAGAACAGGAATTTGATGAAAATAATGCGTATTGGAAGAACAATGCACTCTGGAAAAATTATATAGGTTTTATTAGGTAGTACTGTTTTGAACTTCGTGGTTTTGCATCTTTTCGAGCTTGTATTTGGAGAAACTAATAAAAGTTTATTTTCATGAGTACTGTTTTTCGTTGTAAATAATGGAAAGAGATATTTATAACTCGGAAAGAATAAATTATTAACGGCGATATGTAACTTTATCGCAGTTTCTGTTTTAGAAGTAAGAATGTTATAAGAACTTTCGCGTAATACTCTTTCTTTGCTCGATGAAATATTTGTTAGACTTTATATTTTAAAACGATTCGTTTCAGTTGAAAAAATATGGATAGGTCTAAACACGTAAAATAATTAAGGGAACTTTGAATTTATGCGAGCAATTGCAATTGGATTATTGACTCATTTGCTTAATTTTCAGTTTGACTGCCATTGAAATGAAAATAAAATTATGGAAATCACGCCTTTCTGAGTGCAAATATGAGCAATTTGAACGAAATTATAAAAGATATTAAGGTGGCCTATTTCTGGTGGACTACCGTGTATACACCTCCGCCACAAAGTATACATAGAACGAAAAGAAAAGAAGTATAAAATTCACGATTGTTCCGTTCAAACTCGACAAATAGAGAGTACTCGACTTCCACTGCAGCAATTCGATTAAACAGAGGTTTATACTCTATCCCGCGGAAATGAATTGTCGTAGATCAAGTGATAAAAATTCAGGCGACACAGGCGGAAGTGCGCAACAATAGAATAAATAAAAAGTCAAAATCGAGAATTGTAAAGTACAAAAAACGAACCAACAGTTGCACACCCACCTGCTTTAGCCAGGCGCTGGTGTTCCGCCTGGTAGGCTGACCTCCCGCTATTGTGGTAGCAAGTGTCCTTTGTTGTACACCGACATCGGTGCCGCCTTCAATGGCGAGGAAGATAAAGCTACCGAGCAACGTGTAACCCACCAGTAGAGCGCATATCCCGAGGTTTATAATAAAACCCTTCAGGAAGGAGTGCTGGCTCGCCTTGTCCGGCACACCGCCGAAGCAAAGACACTTTACTTGTCTCGATGGATGCGTTTTCGAGCGGTCCGACGTAGATCTCTTCAAGGAGGACGTGTTGCCATTATTCGCAGGCTTGAAGCCCTCGTAAGCCCTGTAATGTCTCGCGTTGTCCTTCTCCATTCTATTTTTCTCCCGGTCTCGCCGGATCACCCAGTTCTGTCGTCTGACTCACATTTGTCGAACAGTATCTTAGTTGGGTCTGTCGTTCGCATTTCTTGGACCCGGTTTCTCTCGTTGATAGGTCCGACCAAGACGCCAGGGGAAGAGAAATAGTCAGATACGAGTGGACCTCTGACCTTTCTCGAGCTACTTCGACGGATAACCTCTCGTTGCTCTCGCGTGGGTCGTTGCCGACCGTAACAAATTGAAGTTATTCGAGTTGACACGTCCTTCTTCCTATTCTTCGTCTTACTAACTGCCGTTCACTTCTTTCGCTGTCTTCTGTCGCAACATTGTCCGTGTTATCGCGTCGACGTGAATGGTGGACAGTTTCTTCGATAGTTTTCGTCGGGACCATCTTCGAGATCTTCGCGAATCCATTCGTGCCGATAGTACCTTGCTGGCAGCAGCCCTCGAAATAGTAAATTTTCCGGTGCTGGCGAGTGTCGGCTCGAAACATTCTATTGGAGCTACCAATCGTTCACATCGGAATATGTCTGTCGCGGAAACGTTTCAACATTTTCTCGACGAGCGCTGCTCCGCGCTGGAGGCAAAGGGCTGGTTGTCACGGGATCGACACCGGGATCGCAGTCACTGTCGATTTTTATTATCCTCTTAGAAAATGGTCGGTCGACGGATCGCGAGAGGATTTCCCGGGATCGGGCGTTCGATCGCGTGAGAGACGGGCGCTCCCGTCATTTTTCTGGAGGACGGCTGCTGTCCCGACTGGAACGCGGCCCAGAATTCTATGGATAAAATCGATGCTCGAGATATTCGCCGGGGATATTAGTTCCTCTTCAGGGCGAGGTTCTCTATGGACACCGGGAGGAGTCTCGGCTGGTCTCGGTCCTCGTCCGTTAAGATATTGCCCCCTTAAGGGACGCATACGCTTAAGAAATATTTATGTACGCCCGCGCGGAGTAACGTGCGCTTTTATTAAAGAATCCGCCATTATACGAGGCATAATTCCATGTCGTAAGATCGAACGAGGCGTATCGACGTTAACGTTCCTTCGAACTTCCACGGGCGAATTTGTTTCCAAGGTGGAAATTATTTACGACAATCTTCCGCGACCGGTGCAGTCTGTCGCCGATCACGTGTCACCCGAAATAATGCAACCCTTCGAACTTTATAACACGCTGGTATAATGCCATTCGACGGTTTCGCGTATCGATCAATCAAATCCGTCGGGTGGTGACACGGAGCCGAAAGCCACGTGAATTTTCCGCGAAGCACTTCCGCTGCACGGTACCGTTTTTCCCCCCTTCCCACAGTCACCAGGAAAATAGAAACTTAAGGAACAGCGGCGGCGTTGGAGTGAATTTCAAGAGTGTCTCCCGTAAGTCGCTTAAACTTTTCCGTGGTACCGGGCCGAATGTAAAGCCGAGTTTTCCGGCTACCCCATCTTTTCTTCGAACCGCCAAACAGGGTAGAAAGAAACGTCGTCGTCGCCGCCGCTGCCACGCGAGTAGAGCGAGTGTCCGCGGAATGCAGTCGTGAACGGAACCGGCAAAGAAGTGGATGGCAATTTCAAGGCTTCATTCCGAGGAACCGGATTTCCGGAATAAGTATTCCCGATGCATGTCGCGGCTGCGTGGTCCCGCGAGTACCTCGAACCATCTCCGTTTCCGCCATTCTTTCTTCTTCGTTTTTTTTTCTTTCTTTGTTTTCGCCTCCTGTCGAGCTAGCCCGACGCCGATTTAATACAGCCGTAGGAGGTCGGGGGTGGGTGATGGCTCAGGTTCCACCTCCCAGGTGGCGAACCAGCCGCGAAAAGCCGATTAACACTGTCAGACCAGTTCCAGTAATTTGCCCGCGCTTTCCACGCGGCGTCGAGCTGTTTTCATTCCCTGTCCGGCCGGCGAATAAATCAGCGGATGGGGGGGGGGGGCACCGAGCGATGCGCACGGTGAACACCAGCGTCGTTTTCCTTCCGCTCGATCCGGGTAATCTGCAAACAGAAGCGAGAAAATAGGATCGCTCGATTCGATTTCACGTTTACTTTTCTTTACGCTTCTAGCGTACCGTGCTGTATTGCGGTAATATTTCAATGTGGCTGGGCTGGGGAGAACCTTGCATTCGAAATGGAACTGACCGTTCCTCTACCAACCCTCCCACCTCTCCTACCCCCTGTTCACGGACTAACCAATGCTAAGGTGCTTTCGATATTCGAGACAGCCTGCTGTGAAATTTTCAGACCGTGGCGGGCTGTCGACGAGGGCTGCGTCTGTGATGTATTTATGGGACAGACGATGGTGCAAGAAAGAACCTCAGAATGAATGGGAAAAAAACGGTGTTCTTCTGTCGAATAACTTACACCAATGTCGATCATTATAATATACTGGAGATTTAAAATGTTTTTCACTGTTCTGTTTTCTGGTTTTTATATGCAGTTACGCAGAATCGTGTCTGAAAATCAGATACGTACAGTTTCGGTCATAAGTAGACTGCGGATTTTATGCATTTATTGCATTATGCATAGGGCTCTGTGAAATACAATAAAAGACGGATCCAATGAGGTTTCTATGTTAGTCGGAACCAAATAAGATACAATAGGTATCTACATTTGCGCCCGTTTTTATAAATTACTGTAGAAAATGTTATTTTGCATTAAAATCCACAGTCTAGTCATAAGTATTAGAACCCTTATTGTATATGCAGAAAATGTTATTGAGCATTACTAAATTTCTAGTAGTCTGAAATAAATATTGTTTGGGAGATATTAATGTTCGATAGATAACGCTTGTGGAACTATGAAGTAATAAACTTGGTTTAAAATGTATAATTTTCAGGAAACATCACATTTTCCAACTGGAGGACGAATAAAAACTGGCATGAACGTTTTCAAAATGATAAAATGTTCTTTTGAATCATTCACATGCCATAAAATATAGATAAAAAATACAAAGAACCATTTGTTGCGTTAAATAACTGGGGAATGAAAATGTTAAGGAATCATGTATCGAGTCTATGTATTGCATCAGTAAAATCTATCAGAAATTTCAGCGCAAGAATCTATCCCTGAAATACCTAGGTATGTACATCTTTGATATAAACGGCGACCGGACCTGACCTCCGAGGGTAAGAATCGTGGGTAAAGAAAGACTACGGGCCGGTGGCCCGTCGTGACTTCGTAGGTGTGCTCGTACGTTTCTTATCCTCTTACTGGCCGTATCAAATTTCCAAAAGAATCAGAGATCTGACGCCGCTGTGTCGGCCGGGTCGGGCTTCGATGTCCCGGGGAAGACAGCTGAATTCTAGGTGGACGCGGAACGTTGAATTATCGTGGTTAAGGCCCGTTGGGAAATCGTCGAGAAGTTCCGTGATGTTCCCTGTTTCCTCGAGGACATCCTCTTCGGTTTCCGGGGAACCTTCCAGCGGAGAGGCCGTAATCGACGATCATCCTCAAATCCGCTAATACAGAACCCACGAAATCGGACAAAAGGAAGCGCATGGAGGCATCCTTCTACATTCCCTCCTTCCATCCTCTTGGATAAAAATGAAAGGTAAGACGACCAGCGGAGCTGCGGACGGAGGGAACGAAAAGTCGTCCCGTCGTAAGCGGAAACCACACGATATACCCACATACTTCAGGCCTTCGACATCCATAAATGCATAGCAAGATCAACTGGTTTAAAGCCCCGGAGTTCTTCATATCCGAGCGTGATTCCGAGATCCGTGGCTGGCTCGATGTTCGGTGATATTTAAATTCGAAAATTCCACGGGAGCTTTTGTGCCACGTACGGCGGGATATATGTATGTATAGGGAGCGCTACGGCGTCACAGTTGAAAACTGAAAACGTTTCTTTGGTATTTTTAATATTGTCGCAACACAGCGCTATTGGAATTCTTTGCCAGAATAGATGTAACAACGTTTCAAATGAAGGAGAGTATAAAATTCGTAAATTAACAGTGACGATGACATATACAGTTTTGTTTTTACTTATGTTAATAATGATATTAGTATCGTAACAACTTTTAACACTTAGTGCATCGGGGGGATAAAAGACTTCAGTCCCAAGTTTGATCTGACCTCGATTTTTGGAAGCAACCTCAACTTAAACCCCTCCTTTATTACTTTTATTTACTTGTTCTTTAATTTTTATTTTTCTATCTGGAAGTACAAATATTAGACTCCAAAAAATGCTTCTACAACATTTTTCGAGAAGTCCATAGTTTAGGAGATATTTCGAATTTTATATCACTTGGGTCACTTGTCCCCTGTAACTTCTAAAAATGTCCTGTGTACTTCTGAGAACTTTTAGAATGTGTGCAATCGAAGTGTTAAGACACTATCGAGCGGTCGATTAAAATTAGTTATTGTGGAAATTTCCGAAAACCAAACTAAATTAATATAACAAAAATGTATCAAACACACCGTAGCAACAATTGCATTCCAATAGTAAATTCATGATTTCAAAGCAGAGGCAACGTCTAGTGATCCTTTAAGTATTCGATACAAATGAAACAGCGTCTTCTATCGCTTTCCTTCATCACCTCTGTCAATCTGATAATCAAAGAATAATGCTTCGATGTATTTACTGTTCGCTGAGCTTCTATCCTATCCGCCGGAAACCGAACAAGTTCAAATCTGAAAGCATACAAACACACTTAGAGGGTATTCGAACAGCAAAAATTGGCCGCGTATAGCCACGAAAACTTGGATCGGACAGACACAGACATTCGACAGACGTAGAAAGCGGGGTCTATAAACATAAAGGAGGCCAATGTAGTTGAGCGGGTCGAACACTAACTCAATGCTAATTTATCGTCTGTCTTGGTCGATCGTTGTTCCCGATCCTCCTTTCCACTGGCGAAGAAACGATCTTCCATGGGAACAAACTACCGAAGCACACCCACGATCATAAATCGGTTCCAGTGATGGCGCTGCCGTTGAACTGACCTCCTTTTCACTTCCGTTCCGATTTCGCAGGCTTTTTCTTTTCCCACCCTCTCTGCCA